ATATTTTAATTTTTAATGGACTTGGACATAATATACAAATATCATAAATTAAATAATAATACTTCAACTTTTAATATTTGGATTTTTTTATCCACATGTTCCTATACGTTGAAAATCAAAGTCTTTGCTAATAATTCGCCATACTCTTTCAACTCACTGTTAGTTCACTTCTCCATCGATAAAAAGATCCTTTATATTAAAAAGCAATAAACTATATTTATCCAAGAATTTGCTGATATGAGATTCATGCAACGATGAGGCATTGGATTTGGCATCAGTTAAACATCACCATCAACTCAAATTTTCTTACATACGAATCTCTCACATTCTTTCAAAAACTATACCTTTTGGTTTCCTTTTTTAGTTTAAGACATAAGCAACAACAATGCCTTCATGACACATGAAAAATTAACACAAATCAATTTTTTTTTAACCAAAATTCCATGAACAACGCTTCTATATATAACAACACATCCATCATTTGTGAAGGAACACACGAAAACCAATCAAGAGTGCCAAACCGGATAATGGAGTCCGTGGGAACCAAACGAGACTTAACAAACGAGAAAATCAACCCGATTGAAGAAAAATTTGATGAACAAAAAGGAAACAAAAGGAGGAAAAAACTTTTACACGAATCGAAGAATTTGGAGGCCGAGAGGAGGAGAAGAAAGAAGCTTAATGATCGGCTATACTCTCTTCGTGCTTTGGTCCCTAATATTACCAAGGCAAATATAATCTTCCTTAATATATATTAACCATATGTTATATAGTTGAATCATATTGTTTTATTAAAGTTTTATAGTGAAATTTATTTTCTTGAATGCAACTTTTTTTATTATCTATGCAGCTAGATAAGGCTGCTATTCTTGAAGACGCGATCAATTACGTCAAGGAGCTGCAAAGGCAAGTAAAGGATATGGAAATTGAACTCAAAGAAGATTCAAGTGAGGAGAATAATACATTAATGGTAAGAAAAAATGGCAATAATGAGACTCAAGATTCAAAGGAGATGGTGCAACAAATGGAGGTAAGTTAAGAAAAAGATAT